TAGTATGTTTATCATTTAATACATATTGCAGAACTTGTCGCTTTTTGACTTGGTTTTTTCTATAGCATTTACAATTTGTCACAGAGGACCAAGTTTCATTTCCAGTCAGGTTTGTTATATTCAGTTACATGCAAAATACCCTTGGGGGAGGGGGAAGTATGAATTCACCTCTTCTCCTTCCACTCAGCTAAGACTTGAATCACTAAATCATTATTTCAAAAAAAAAAAAAAAAAATTTCTGGCCTTAACTGCAAAGGGTTGATAAGCTGTAAAAAATAAATCAATAAACAATTGGGCACAACTTTTTACCAAGTTGTAGATTGTTTATTATACAAACCTAGAGTGTCATATTTTTATTTGTCCCTTTTGAGTCATTCATTGATTGCATAAGGTTTACAAAGTAGTCTCTCTTGAGATGCTACTATAGTGTGGGGTCTTCTTCAATAATGATTCAGTATGTAGACTATGAATATTTACACTCTACGGATATTTTCATTAAAGACTTTCATTGCTGTGTTCTTATAGCATTCTTGCCTGGATGTGCTGGCCCATTTTGGGAAAAATAGGAAATTTATTGGAAATAAATGACTATAAAGATATTGTTGGCAATTTCTCATGGGTGTCACAATTTTGATTATGATCAGATACTCTGTAGTACACTATGCAATATGCAATATAGTAAAAATACTAACAAAACTATGTATTCTTCACTATTATGTCCACACTCATTTAGAAATGGCACTAATTTATAACAAATACTAGACTATCATTTTGCAGTTTCTTGAAAATATGCCAACAGTAGACAATGTAAGCTTCATAAAGACAAATAACCATGTCTACAGCAGTAAACATGTTCCTCTGCTAGATGTACCATATTTTCTTTGTGTATAATACAAGAATATTTTGAATGAGAGTTAAAGACAAAAAAGTGGAGGCTGTATTATGCACAAGTACATGTTTTCAGAAATTATTACTCGGCTTAAAAAGAAAAAAAACTTATGTGAAACAGCAAGATTGCAAATACACTCATTACAATAAATAATAAAAGACAACGTAGGCAATTGTTAATAACAGTTCTCTTTACAAAAGGCATTTTGATATATTAACAATATTTCTTTCTCTCTTCATTCTTAATGAAAGATAATTTTTTTTCATAGATTATTAACATATAGAAATATAATAAAGTCCTAGCAAACAGAAATATATGATAAATTAACTCTTCAAGCCCTGCATTCCTGAACAATTTTAACCCTTCTACCTGAGCTACCGAGTCAAAATTCACAAATAATTGGTATGTAATGTTTCACGGTAGATATAAAAATAGTGTTTACCCGCCATTCAACTGGTAACTGGACATTACGTCATTTTTCTCTACCAATTTAGGATGGTTAATTAACAGTTTTTAAATGTATTCCCAGATATGTCTGGTTAGCACCTTTCTCTGAAAATTTGAAAATAAGTTTTAAAACAGAAATTAGAAGAAACATACAATGACTAAACATCCAGTTCATTTCTATTCTTTAATATTGTGAAAAATTAAGTATTTTAGTGAAATATATATAAGCAAATATATGGATATAGATCCGACAGTATGAAGGAAAATATACAGAAAAACAAACAAAAATCCTATTATGCTGTTTTAATGTTAATATAATGTCAACGTTGGACGTTTCGGTCTAATAGACCATCTTCAGGACATATTCATAAAACATAATTAACATTAGACTAATATATATATATATATATATATATATATAATATAAAATTTCAGTTATCTGTTTGGATTAGTCTTACTCTTATGTCCATCGTCTTTTCATATTGAATTGAATATAGTCTAATGTTAATTATGTTTTATGAATATGTCCTGAAGATGGTCTATTAGACCAAAATGTCTGACGTTGACATTATATTAACATTAAAACAGCATAATTGTATATTAGGATTTTTGTTTGTTTTTCCGTATATTTTTCTTCATATATATGACATTGAAATTTTAACAGATATATAGTACAACATTTCAAAATAAATTTACATAGGTTGGCTGTACTACATGGTCGTATTATGAGCAAGGATATCATTTATTATCTACTTTTAGCTTCACAGACACAGGGTCATATTATACATAAGAAAGTACTGTATTACAAGTTAGTTTGCAAATTTATAGCATTGATATTCTTTTCTGATGTTTGCCAGATGATTATCTTTGTCTTTCTGATATCTCTTGGACACCATAAACTCAGATTTCATTCTTGGTTTGTGTAGACTTATGACTGGAACCATTCCACTGTTGATCATTTATTCTCTTTGATTTCTCAAAGAAAGGGGTTTCAGTTTTGCAACAAAAGAGCTTGGTGCTGATTTCTGTTCATTTTCAAAACCATTTCTCACTAGCAGAAATTCTTTACTTCTTTTTCTTGCAATTTAGCTTCAACAATTTCAGTTTCTTCTTCACAGCAAATGACTTAACAATTAGTAAAAAAAAATGCTATTTGTTATTGAAACTCTATTTTTATTGCTTATTCATGTGTGTGTTTTTAGTTGAACAAACTGTTTTTTTTTTTTTTATAGGATCAGTATAAAGTTTTTATGAGGAATAATTATTGTAAATTAGCATTCATTAGACCTTCCTTTACCCATGACATTTCTTCAAATCGAAAAATATTGATTTATTTTATAAATAAATATTATCAACTCTATTCTTGACTTCTTAAAGAGTTATATGTACATTGTTTTCATTTGCAAATGTCAAGTTTGAACCTGTTCTCAATAACTGTTAGAGCATCAGTAGTCATTGATAACTGCATCTTATTATGAATGGGGGGGGTGAGGATAACCTCAATGGTCTAAATACAGTTTCAAACTTGACATTTGCAAATAAGAACAAAGTTCAGATAATTCTTTAAGAAGACAGGGATCAATTTGATATGATATTTACATTAATAAATGATAAAAAAAAAAAAAATCAATATTATTTTTCAACCCTGACTAATGTTGTGTTGGGAATTCTAATCTTCAAAAATTATTCACAAATTTTCCCCATTTTTTTATTATTATTATTTACTTTTTTATTTTTATTCAAGTTGACCAGTTAATTTAATTAGTTCTTGCTGGCCTACCAACAAATAGTTACTTTTTTTATATCTCTCTTCTCCAAAACATTTTTTACAATAAATATGCTTGAAGCTGATAGGTTAAAATTTTCAAATTTGAATCACTGCTAGGGGGGGAAGAAAAAAAAAATGGATAGAGAATTCTATTACATTTTATGCATATGTCTATATACCAAATAAGAAAATGGTCAGAGGTGTTAATAGAAATATTAATCAAGGATTGTATTGTGTGACTAACTAATCCCCATTGCAGACGCCTGCTCAGGCATGTGTTTCTTCAACACCCACAGAGCCAACTAGTGCTCTATACAACAGCAACTATGCTAATTGAACTTTAGTTATATTTTCCATGAGAGAGAAAAAGTAAGTAAGAGTATAATCCACTGTGGTGGTCACCAGTTTGAACAAGACTAATATATTTAAATTCTTGGCAATGTTGATATCACATTAGTACAACCAGCAACAACTTTCAAATATTTCTTCTTCTTTTTTTTCTTTTATATATATATATATATATATATATAGTTTCAGGTTTATGACCATATGTTCCAAAACTGGTTCTCACATAATCATTGAAGTTAAGCAATGACAAGCCTGGTCAATAGCTAGATAAGTGACTGCTTGAATGTGTGGGTGGTGTAATGAATAAAGGCTTGGAATTAGAAATCAGTGTGCCAAGTTCCAATTTCAGTCACGTTTGTTAGATTTATATTCACTTAAATGCAAGTACCCTTGGGGAAGGTATGAAACCATCTCTTCTTCCCCCACCAGCTATGGGTTAATTAGTAGTACTTTTATAAGTAAATAATTATCTCCCAAAAATTCTTACAATCTAAAAATATTTTCAGGTTTTAAATAACCTGCAAAAGGTTGATAAACCTTCAAAAAAACAAACAAACAAACCAATCAATCCAGTTTAATTCGTAAGGCTTGGCTCAGCTCATCGTTCTTCAGGCACTTCCAAATATGATGCCACATGCTGGGTATTTTCTCCGAATACTGATATTATCAAGAAGTCATTAAAAAATTGATCATAGTGAGATTTGAACCTTGTTCTCATGGTTGGAATGCTAACATCCTAACCACATAGCCACTAATCAAGTATATTATAACTCAAAACAACCAATGAGTAATATCAGTTAGTTAATCCATATAGTTGATCATAAATAACTAAATCCTATATAGATATATATCGTTTTTTATTTACATACAGATTAGTATTCTTATTTTTGTTATCACAATGTTTCGGCTGTTTTGTTCCTTAGTCTTCATCAGGTGTATGTTGATCCAGGCAACCTACAGGGAATTTTGAACTGAACCCTTTATTTAATCTATGGGATAGATTGTTCTCATTCCACTGCTAGGGATTTAACTTCTAGTTTTTATTTTAGTACTGCTCAGTTAATTGCTTGCCCATTTCCACTGAGTCAAAATATGTAGTCCCTGTAGGTCACCCAGATTGATATACACCTACTGAAGATTGGAAGATACAACAGCCTGAAACATGATAACAACAACAAAGATGAGGACAATAGTCTGCATGTAATAACTCCCCTTCCCAAAATTTCAGACAGAATTATTTTTTTTTTTTTTTTTTTTTGCATTTTATTTTTTTCCTTTGTCACTGTTAGCCTTTAGTCTCAAGAAAACACATTCATATGGTTTTCTTCTGTTTTTTTTTTTTTTTTTTTTTTTTTTTTTTTTTTTTTTGTTTTTTGTTTTTTTTTTGTTTTTTTTTGTGATAGTTCACTTTGATTCTCAACTGATTAAACCTTTTAAAAGTGATTAACTTTTTAAAATTATATTATACCTTTGTTACTCTTTTTCTTTTTTCTTTTTTCCTCTGGGTAACCTTCAAGTGTAACTTATACAACCATGTATCTTTTGTAGCATCAAGTCTCCAGCCCACCAGAGACACCTCAATACACTGGCCGCTTAACCACTTTGAAATGGTGCAAACCTGTTATGAAGTGCACCAACTTGGGTTTCTGGCACCATGTTTTAATGGTGAGTGCTGACTCAAAAGCCAGACCCCCTCCAAACACTGAATAATATACACAAACACAGAAAAAAAAAAACATATTTATGTGTATGGCTATTTGAACTGAAGAAATTGAAAAGGAAAAAAGAAAATGAAAAAAAAAAAAAATGCCATGTCCCTTCAGGACGTTGGCGATCATGGCTCTCCACAACTTCCTGACTCTACTCTTTCATAAACAGTTTATTCAGGTAAGGAGTTGCTAAGGAGACTGGTTGGTATTCAGATAAGCTTTGGGGACTGGAGTAAAACAAAAATAATTAATGAAGATAGCATGAAAATCTCAGAAAAATTTCAACTTTCTTTCAAGTAGGTAGCAAGAGTTATATATATATATATATATATATATATATATATATATATATATATATATATATATATGTTTCTGTGGGTCTATGCATTAAGTAACTTTCTTTTCTTTCTTTTTTAAGAGGAAAACATTTTAAAACATTCACTTTATCTCATGGATATGGAAATAAGTGATTAAATTATAGATGCCCCCACACCCCATCCCTGTCCAGTTTTTCTTATTTTTAATGTCAGTTGAGAACTTTTTCTTTTTATGTAAAGTGTGGAAAAAAATATTTTTATCAAAAATCATGAAAAAATAAAAAAAATCTTGGGAAAAGATCATGTCTAGCTTAGGATTTTAGAAGTAAAATAAACTTAATTCTGTTCATTATCAAAATATTAATTGGAAACTCAAACATAGCCTTTAATAATTTATCAGTTCAAGAGCTCCTGGCTTCACTAAAATATTTTAATGCAAGTTTGTTTTTTAGACTGACGGCTTTTTGTAAATATATTTAAATGTCTAAAGTTTCATTGTAAGATTTAAAATGCTCATTCAGAATTCAGCAGGTTTTAAAGTTATGGACATTAATCTGGTTATAAAAACAGCAGCAATTATATTCCCTCTTCTATTGCTTGATTTAGTAGATTTTTTTTTTGTATAAGCAGAACTTCTAATGAGTGAATATTTAAAAATGGGTTGTAGACATTTTACAGGAAGATGAAAAAGCTTCATCAGTATGCAGTCTTTGGCTTATTTTTTTCTGCCAAAGTTTTTCTTAGAGGACAGATTTTTAAAAAATAAATTGATAGTTCTGTACAGTGGCTATGATGCTTTCTCCTCCAAAATTAATTTTTTTACTCTTGGTGCCACAATTTGATATTTAGACTCCTTTTTTTTTCTTTTTTTTTTTTTTTAAATAGTTCACTCTGCATTTTAAGCCGAATATGACTACAAGTCTTTAATTTTTAAATCCTTTATCTTTATTTTTAAGAAATAGCGTAATAATAAAGCCAAAAAATTTACTTTTGGCTCATAGATTTTTTTTTTTTTTTTTTTTTTTTTTCTTCATTGTCAACAAAATGCAGAAATCTATGTTTGGATTTTCATAAATCTAGATTCCTGGAATTTTAAAATATTTTCTCCCCGCCACCATAAACAAAAAAAATCCAGTGTAATTCTGGAGGTGGGGGAGATGCATTATGAAAACATGCATCACTGCTAAAATATAATTAAAAAATACGATGAAATAATTTGTGAAGTGAAGGTATTAAAGCGTTTCCCTGCAGATATGAAACGTCATCAAAAAATAATTTAAATTTGTTCTACTTCTGGCGTTTTTATTGTGATTTATATTTTAATTGATGTCTGAAATCATTACATTTTTCAGAAGACAAATGTTAGTTTAAAATATCCTTGACCTCCAAATAATTACTTCTAATCAGTTACCTCCCTTTTTTTTTCCTTTTTTTTTCTTTTTTTTCTCTCTCTCTCTCTCCCCCTCCCTCCCCAGTCTACTCAATTGTTTGGTATTTTTGAGTTGATAGGTGTGCCAGGTAAATTAAAAAGCATATTTTAATAAACATTTCATCTGTTATTTTTTTTTTTTTTTTTAAATTTGTATAGAAAGAATTTACAGCTGACTTGTTAAAATGAAGTCTTGAAATAGAAAACCTTGGTCACCTTGATGTGGTGTAATGGTTAGCAAGCTTGTCTCGCTAGAACCATTACAACTGAGTAGGGAGTTTGATCTTCACTGGGTGCTCCATACTTTCGCCCTTGTGCCACATCTAAGCTTTGTTTAGACAATAACCCTAATAAGAATTGTTGTCATATGCTATTTCACATTACTACAGATTAGTCAAACAGCTGCAAAAAATTATGGAATTATCTAAATAAATCTGTTTTAATTAGATTTTTTAAAACTACTGAATTATTTAAACAAAGGGTAAAAAATAGTAAGTTTGCTGAATTCATTTTTATTATTATTATTATTATTAATATAAACATTAGAAAATTATTCAAAGGTTTCTCTCATGGTCAGTTCTGTGTAGCTATGTCTAGAGTAGGGAATTCAAGTGGACTTAGTATAATGATTAAAAATGTTTAGAAAATAGATGTCTTGATGAAAGTTTTGATACAAATATTTTAGAGTGATAAGAGAACTTCTATGACATCTTTGTTCATAGAACATGTATCATGCTAGTATGAATAAATAGATATGCATTAAAATTTAAAAAAAAAAAAAAATGAAAAAATACTTACACCCACAGCCTTGGAAGAGACTGCATACCTGGATCAGGTGTAATTCCTGTTGGCCATTATAACCACAATAGCAGCTTTCAATAGGTCCTTGGTATTGTGGGATCTCTGTGTTCGTAGTGAAGGGCATTTGATTGTTGGGGATGAGGTGAATGTGAAAATTCTTGGCCAACTCCTCCCGATTTACATGTGGCCCACAGGTGAGGGAACAGTCTTACTGGAACATGTATGACCTGCTTCTCAATCCAGGGATTGACCACAGTCCAACACCCTGATGGAGTTGGTTGCGTTGACCTTGAAGCCATGTATGAAGGAGTGTGGAACAACATAATATAACTCTCATTATTCACAATCCTGAGATCTGAGAATGTGTGTTTAATGTCCATCACCATGGGGACCGTGTAGAGCTACCTGTCGTTTCTCCTGTTCAACTGGTCACTTTGAAAAAGGTGGCGATCTCAAATCATTGTAGATGGTATCTAGTGTCTGAGGGTAGTGTACATTCTTATTTCTTGTATCAGTTTAGAAGCTCTTGTGTCAATGTACTTGATGTTTCAATTTGGTATATCCTGTGTAGAATTGTCAGATTGCCTTTCATTTAGGAATTGTTAAAGATATTGTCTCAAATATTTGGCATACCTTGTATTTTGCACAACTCATTTAAGAAAAGGTTTCTCTCGTTCTCTTTTACCTTTTTTCTTCTTCCCTTATATAAACCCACGAGTCTTTCATTTAAAACCTTTAGATTGTAGAAAATTTACTTATATATTATTATGACTAGTTATCTACTTGCAAAAACAAGAATCTTAAATTGACTTTTGGCATAGAAAGTTTTATTATTGTTTTTAGTATATTTTACTTTAGCATTTTTCCTCACTAAAAAAAAAATATTAGGTCATAGGTCATATTTTTGGCAACTCTCTAGCACAATCATAGATTGGAAGCAATAAAAAAAAAAGTCATTCTTTCTACCTTACACTCTCAAACGTCACAGTTATTTCAGGTTAAAAAAAAAAAAAAAAAATCAACCCACCCACTACTACAACAACAACAACAACAATAGCAGCAGAAAGAAATAAAATGTCTTGAAGGGAAGGCAGCAAATGTGTCACTCAAGTGTCATGTGTCCATCATTGAAGCACTTTTGTCCAGGCCATCTCTTAACTCTAAACTGACCTGAAAAATGAGATTTACAACCTCCTCAAGCAAAGACTCTGTTTGTATTTTCCAGCTCACAGGTTGCCCAAGCATCAGAATTGCCACCATCCCCTCATCTGTGGGAGTAGTCTGAATTTCTGGAGACTTAGAAGCAATTGTTGGTTATAGTGATTCGGAGAGGTACCATCCCTTTCCACAGTGGATGCAGGAGAAAGTGTTGAATTCATAAAGGCATGCAAGGACCACACAAACCCACCTACACACACACACACACACAAACCCACCTATACACACACACACAAACCCACCTATACACACACACACACAAACCCACCTATACACACACACACACACAAACCCACCTATACACACACACACACACAAACCCACCTATACACACACACACACAAACCCACCTACACACACACACACACAAACCCACCTACACACACACACACACAAACCCACCTACACACACACACACACAAACCCACCTACACACACAATCAGATGAATGTCCAAGTTAAAATAACACAGAAATAAAAATGGTTTGCTTGTGGAATTGAGAATAATTGGAAGTAAGTAAGATAAAAAAAAAAAGCAGCTGGGACTGATAATAGTTGATTTTATGAATCCAGATTTATTTCTGACAAGAGCGGCTTGAGCTAGCCAAATCAAAAGTTCTACAGAGGTGTGTATAAAAAAAAAAAAAAACATCCTGTCTGAATCACTTCAAGGGTTGATTTGAAGACAGGAAAATCAAAGATAAAATAAAATTCACAGAAAAATGGAACAGTCCATTCCATTTGAAATCTTTGCCAAAGCAAAGTATAAAAATTCAGATTTAAAAAGGAAATGTCACTAAGAAAACTCACATGTATGTATATATGATTTATTTTGCACAATTCCAAATAAATTACTGGCATGTGAGAATAAATTAACAAAGATTGGTGTCTTTAAAAAAAAAAATAATTTAGATTTGTCATAGACTCTTCTTTGTTCTGACAGTTATTTTGGATAAATGGAAGATCATTACATTTCTCCAAGTTTCTTGAACTTCCATGTTAAAATGAAGAAGGAAGAAAAAAAAAAGATTTTTCATTTTATTTTCTTCAACCTGAAGAATTTTTGTAAACTTTGCAGTGGATTGAAGTCATTTGGGATTGAGACAGCAAATACTTTACATCTTTTGTAAGAATACTTCAACATTTTTTTTTCTTTTTGACAGCCAAATCAAGTATGCCCTGCCTCAACTTCTAGTGTCGACA